TCCTCTTTACACTACAAGTGAAATAGAAGCAAGCAATTCATCTTATTGTTGCCAATATCTTCAAAACATCTTGAGTTTCTTTCTTTCCCGATGATCCACCAAACACAAGCTGGAACAGCACTCCACCATTTCTTTTGTCTGACCACTCCTTCACAATTATTCCAGCAAACCAGGATCTCTCCAGTTGATTTAGGCATGATGCATTTCAACCCTTTTATACTCAAAAAAGATTTGCCAAAGTTGATCTGTGATCCGATAATGCAAAAAAAGATAGCTATTACTCTCAGCTTCCCTTCCACATAAGTAGCATCTAGAACAAAGCTGCATTACCCTTCTCTGTGTTAGAGAAGCATTCTTCACAACCAGCCAAACAAAACATGCCACTTTGTATGGTATTTTCACCTTCTAGATGTTTTTCCAATGCCACAATCCAGCCTGCTGACAACTATGTTTCAAATTTCTGTATGCAGATTTCACTGTGAAAGTTCCTTTGATGTGCTTTAGCCATACCAATCTGTCTTCTTGATCTGTGATACCATGAAATTGCTCCAAAGTCTTGTAAAATTCTGCTAGCCTGTTAATCTCGCAGTCATTGATAAACCTTCTGAAGCTTAAATTCCATCCCTGTAGACTCCAGATTTCAGTAACTGTTATATTTTGCTGATGAACCAGGTTGTATATATCAGGGAAAACCTCTTCAAGTGGTCCATGCTCAACGCAGTTGTCATTCCAGAAGGAGGTCTTTACCCCATTTCCCACCTTAATTCTCACATTATTAATTAGGTAAGGTCATAAAGTTCTTATAGATCTCCATACACTAAGACCATAGGGTGTAGATACCACTTTGGAGCACCACTATCCCTCATTCCCATATTTTTCATTGACAACCCTTCTCCGAAAGCCTTTTCCTCCAAGCTGAATCTCCAAAGCCATTTCATGAGTAAGCTCCTATTATGATACCTGAGATTTCTTATGCCCAAGCCCCCTTCTTTATTGCTGATAGTGAGAGTTTTCCACTTACCCAAGTAAAAGCCTTTCTTTTCTCTGTTGCCTTGCCATATAAAGTTCCTTCTTAGAGCATCATTTTTCTTTTCAATGTTAGCTGGTAGTGGGAATAAGGACATCATGTAAGTGGGAAGAGAATCAAGCATGTTTTTTACCAAAACCACCCTCCTCCCCAATGATAAATATTGACTTTTCCATGTAGCCAGTTTTTTCTCGCATCTTTCAAGCACCCCATTCCATATCTCTTGTGACTTGTTCTTTGATCCCAAAGGCATTAAGATAAATTGTCGGCAAACAGCCCACTTCGCATCCTGAAGTGCCTTCCTGAGAGTGAATGTGTAGTACTTCATTTACTGGAAACAACAAACTTCTTCTCCAATTCACATGAAGGCCTGAGACAGCCTAAAAATAGTGAGGATTACTCTGAGATGTCTCAGTTGCTCCACTTTGGCATCATAGAAGATTAATGAATCATCTGCATATAATACCTACATAGTGCTTGTTGCATTATTAAGCACCTATAAAACCCCTAAGCCATCCATTCTGATTTGCCACTTTAATCTTGCTGTTAAGACCTTCCATTGCAATAATAAATAGAAATTGAGATAGTGGATCTCCCTGTCTCAATCCCCTTTGAGATGGAAAGAAACCTTCCGGAGTGCCATTGATCAAAACAGAAGATCCGACCTTGCTTATACAGAAGAGAATCCATCTAATCCATTTGTTTCCAAACACTCATATCTTTTAACACCTTTAATAGAAATTAATATGGTCGTAAGCTTTTTCAGTTTCTAGCTTACACTATTCTTGGCAGCTTCCCTTTTATTGTAGAGTCCACATATTCATTAGCTATCAAGGCTGCGTCCATTATTTGTCTTCCTTTGATGAACGCCACTTGTTGTTGATCAACCAATTTGTGTATCACCTTCTTTATCCTCTCTGTCAGAACTTTGGATATGATTTTATAAACACTGCCAACGAAGCTTATTGGTCTGAAATCTCTCAATTCCATGGCCTCAACCCTTTTAGGAATTAAATCAAAGTTTGCTTAGTGGTGTTTAAATTCTCTAATAGTTGCTTTATTTTTCAGGTGCGAGAGTTGTGATTAGTCATCCACAAGGCAGACAAGTGGTTGAAGAGCAACGGAAACAATATCCTGACGTGGTAGTCTCAAACTTGCCAGATAAGATGAATCTGCAAAATGTTGCGGCAGAGCATTCATTTGAAGTAGTCAAATTCACAGATGAACCTGGCTTCTATCTTGCTATTCTGAAATTCGAGCCAGAGAACAAGAACGACTAGGCTCTTCTCTTAACTTTAGATCATCTGAGGAAAAGAAGAAGCGGTACGAATCTGTGCTAGAGAGCTTAAAACTTGAATTACATTACAAATTTGCATCTGTTTCATCATCATTTCAGAACCTTAAATGCAAGTAATTATATATAAAAGACCAGTAAAGGCCCCGGCGTTCCAGCTTTGGCAATCATCTTTGATTGCAAAATCTGCTCCTTATTCATTGTTGCATTACAAGTTGTGCTGTCAATCTAACTTGTGAGTAGACTGCATCTTGCTTTTTTTTCTTTTCAAGTTGACATTAATAGACTGCATGTTATCGTCATTGGTTTTTCTTATTTTTATATCAAATTAGGGCAGACATGAAAGTAAACCATATGTCAGAATGAAGAACATTTCGAAGGATTTCTGGTGGCTCATCCAAAAGTTGGAAGCTGTTATCCTCCTATATGAGATTGACAAAGTTCCTCTTATTTCAAGTTCTCTTTCCAACTCAACTATGATCCTAGTGAGCGTTGAATTCACTGCAGATAGCCTTCAAACTTGGCCAAGTTCCTGAACAGAAATCAATCAGAGAATTCTGAACGCCATAAAAAAGTAACTGTCTGATAAATCTGCTAACAAACAACAACTAGGCCTCACTTCCAAATAAGTTGGGTTGGCTATACAAATCCTCATGGATCATGGCTCTCCATTTACATTCATCTCAAGTCAATATTATACAAAACTAAAAAAAAAGTAGTAGAAGTTGTATATATTTTCTATTGGTATATAAATCTCAGCCAAGGCTAAAAGATACATAGGAAGCACAAGACTTTAAATAAATGTACTAACATAAGCCAACTAATTGGTATTGCCCGTGTAAATCTTTTTCTTTTGTTGTATCCCATCTTTCACTAAGTTCGTATTATTTCAAGAGATTGTGGTTTTTCGGGATAACTTTCGTCCACGTGATGTTAGGTTTGTGCATGACATGACTAAACCATCTCAAGTGACCTTTTTCATTTTAGGCCGAATAAATATGGAGACACCTAGAGTTGCCATGGTGTTTCATTAGACACCTTAAGTGGGTTTTGTTCTGATCTAATACCTGTAGTAGGCCCAAAGTGTACAAATCAGACAAGTTTTGCTGAAATAGTTGATGGTGTGAGTTGCACCGTAAGCTCTTTGGTTTGATGTTCCTTGTTGTATTTTGCTAAAAAACTTTCTAAGTGAAAATAGAGTAATTAAGAGATGAAAGTGTGTATGAACATACGTTTAGGCATCGAAAATACTCCTAAGACATCAGTAGAGGATAATGAACACAGGCATTATGTGCAGCTCAGGCTATCAATCATGTCAGCAAAATATGTTGATTGGTACATTTTCGCCTACTACATGTGTTCAAACGGAACAAGGCATGCTTGACGTGTCTAAATGAAAAATCTTGACAACTTTAGGTATATCCGTATGTATTCAGCTTCATTTTATCCTCGATTTTTGCTAGTTGCACTTTTGTAGAATATATTATTTTTATCTCGTCAAATTTTGTATAATTAAATATCCATCTTAGCATACGCATCATTAATGACAATCATCTTGTGGATAGGCATTTTTTATCCTATAACACCTTGATAGCATTTTTTTCATTTCAATCATTCGATTATGATTCAGCAGCCCGATATTCACACCTATATAACATTGCTGGTCTTATAAATTTGCTAACAAAAGATCGAGAAAAATCAATAAACCATGTTTTCACAAGTGTATAGACTAGTTGAAAAGCGGAGAGTAACAAACTTTTATTCTCCAGGTGGAATAGAGGAAAGAATAGAATTTATTTCATAAAATTTATCAGTTATTTACATGTGATATGCTTTCTCGTGTAAGAATCTATAATTTTCTCGTACAAGAATCTTTAATTACATGAAGAAAAGAAGTCCTATTATTACACCGTAATCATTAAGATTACTGTGAAAACTCTTACACCCCCAAAACTTGCTGTTGAAGCACTTAAATTTGTTTATTTATTAAAATTAAGAAATGCTAAAAGTCATTGGAATATTGAACAGTTGCCTGAATGTTAGACGATCACTAAAATGAAAAATAGTGTTGGGATTCTTTACCCTGAAAAGTATTTGCTTCACATTTAAAGTAAGTGTTCTTGCAGCAGAGTATTTGTTTCCAGTCACTCATAAGGAGCCGAGGATCTATTTTCAGTCACCCAAAAGAGGTACAACCATGTAAACCTACAAGACTTCATTAGCCTAACTTTAATTGGCAGCTGAGAGAGAAATCGAAAACGTTCAAGAAAATAGGCGTATTGCCTGTTTGGCAAAAGCTTAAAAAATATGTTCTTTTTTATGTTTGGCTAATTAATTTGAAAAGGACTTCTCAACAACAATTAATATTTGGCCAAACTTTTAATATGTGCTTCTAAATATATTTTTAGAGATACCCTACTTTTTTCTGCTTTTCCAAAATTGTTTTTGCTTCTAATCAAAAGCACTTTTTTTCATCTAAAACCTTGGCCAAACACTACAACTTCGGAAAAAAAGCACTTTTTTTTAAGGAAAAAAAAAAAAGCACTTTCGGCTTTGGAGAAGCTTGACCAAACAGGCTAGTAGTACCATTGGAACATTCATCCCCGCAGTTGTTTGGAATCATTTAGCAAGATGCCTAGCTAATAAGGTATAAAGGAATATGTGAATCTAAGCACATCATGCCGATCAAACACCATATTCATTTGTATAGGAAAAAGCTCATTGCATACAATTTAACTCGAAACACTGTCATTCTCTCAACCTTTGCTCTCTCTACGTAAGGAAAAAAACAGATTACAACTCAAAACAAAACAAAACCAATCAACTAAATCAAGAAAAAAATTGCTAAATTTTTTCAGGGGATTATTCTGTATGACATTATAAGTACTCAAACTTCCATGACTCAGTAGAGAATATAAACTGAAACCTCGCATGCAGCCACCTCATATCTCTGTTAACAAACTATATCAGGAAAAGGAAACTCAATCCGGTTTGCAAACGGGTTGTACTCTTCAACTGGATCTTTCTTAATGCAACCATCATCACCCTCAGTGTGATCAGCTGTCAAATCTGAAGAAATATTCCTCGCAATCCCTTGTTTCAAAGAAAAGGGATCAGGAGTGAAAGAGAAAAGAGAGAAGCCCGAACTTCCAGACTTCCCGTTTTGACCTGCTTTTACAGTTGGTTTATCTGTTGTATGCTGCCCTATCCTCTGCATATTAGCTTCGTGATAGGCATCTTTTAACCCGCCAATAGTTGTATCATTAGCACTTTTCTTTGTGCACGTATCATTTGTTGAAGCAACTGACTGGTAAACAGGGAATTGACCAGGATTGACAACAGGAGGGGTCAGATGCTGTAGGCCACCATACTGCATGAAATGCGTATAAGCATTCAGACCATAAGCAAAAGGGCTAGCATATACATAGTGGTTCGGATGAGGAAATGGCATTAAGCCATTCGCAGGAGCTGCTCCCCAAGAAGCCGGACTTTGATAATAATAACCCATTGCAGGAGCTTGAAACAAAGGGAAGTGTATGCCTTGATTTTGGACTGGTGGATGCACAGGTTGAGGTTGAGTTCCAAGAGAAGCCCCATTCATATTTCCACTACTGCAAGTTGAATTAACTGTTACAGGAAAACTTTGCACTGTAGTTGTTCTTGCAGAATCTGGTGTAAGGCACTTAACATGAACACCACTACCAGTAGCATTCCCCTTTTGTTGCCCAACTTCATAACAATCAGCAAAGCCGTTCCTAATTTCTGAAGTTCCTCTTCCTTCTGACTTTTGGCTGCAATCTTCTGAATCTGACGTTGATGATGATTCTGGATGTCGAGGATTTGAAAAGGATGTATTGCTGTCTCCCTCACTAAGGCAGGATGAGCAATTATCAGAATTAGAAGAGCTTCTCTGTGATGAACCCAAAGAAGACCCCTGCATCGACTCATTTTCATCATCTCCTCCTAAATACTTCAAATACTGCTGGGATTTCTCTTCCAAATGAAAACCATTTTTGCAGTTGCTTTCTGTTTTGGAGCCAGGTTTTCTTGATTCTTGAACGTCCTTTTCTTCATGATGGATCTGAAGAGGACTAGATACTTCCGAACTATTGGAAATCAAATATTCTGGATCCTCTAGAGTTTCAGTACTCAATGTAAGATCAGAGTCAGAGCTGTTTCTTGGATACTTCTTCTGTGATTCTGTTGGTTCCCATACTTTCTTAGTAACAGGTGAATCCCTGCTGGACAAATTATTACCTGTAGGCATTCTGTTTTTGAGTCTTCTACCATTTTCTCGCATGTATTCGAGTTGATTATATTTGTTTCCATGATAATACTGCTTGGAGATATCTGATGAAGATGCTGACTTACTCACAGGTTTGTTATCTTGTATTTCTCTGGCTATATTTGGATCCAACTTCGATCTATAATCGATGTGTTGGTTACAGCTGCAATCGGCAGAGTCATATCGGTCATTCATCCTCTTATTATTTGAACATTGGAGCTTCTCCGCAAACTTGGAGGCACCATTATTTATGTTGGACTTTGCAACGTTATTTCTTAGTTGCTTGTTCAACCTATTAGTACTCTTAGAAGCTCCAAAGTCATCACAGTAATGTCTTGGGTCATGCTTGCTCACTACACTTCCGCTCTCTGAAACAACAGCAAACCGTCGTCTATCAAACCATTTCAGGCCTGAATCTGGTTGGGAATCATTTCGATATTTTAGCCTCCGCCTGGAGTATCTCAAATGATCACTTGCAGACGAAACATTCATATCTTTAATATTGAATTCCTCAAGATAGTCATCAGAGTGGATTTGCATATTCGAGCAATGATACCTATCCAAAAGTAGATCATATTCGTTATCCGGGGATAAAGGACTGGAACGATTGACTTCACCCATTTCACTCACTGAAGCCCTTTTGCTTATCAAATTCGACTCATCATCATCAACACTAGGTGTTGACTCCTCCTTTGGAACATCATCAGTTTGGTTAGGTTCACAACTTTTCTTCTCTATATCCTTTTCTTTTTCCCTTAATCTCTCCTTCCTCCAAATCTCCTCCTTTGAATCATCAGGAACAAAATTAGTTTCATTTGATTCACAGCCTTTCTTCTCTCTTTCCTTTTCTTTTTCTCTTAATCTCTCCTTCCTCCAAATCTCCTCCTTTGAATCATCAGGAACAAAATTAGTTTCATTTGATTCACAGCCTTTCTTCTCTCTTTCCTTTTCTTTTTCTCTTAATCTCTCCTTCCTCCAAATCTCCTCCTTTGAATCATCAGGAACAAAATTAGTTTCATTTGATTCACAGCCTTTCTTCTCTCTTTCCTTTTCTTTTTCTCTTAATCTCTCCTTCCTCCGGAGTTTCTTTTCCTTTTCTTTTGTCCTCCTCCGCTCCTTGCGTTCTTCTTCTACACGCTTTTCCTTCTCTTCTTCTTCAAGAAGTTTCATCTGCATCAACAAATTAAGCAGAGACTCAGAACCATACCTCTACAAGCAGGAATAAGCATTCATACTAAAAGAAGAAGCTGTGACAGTCCTTAATCTATAAATACATCTTCTGAGTACCTGCTTTTCTAAAGTAATAATCTCCTTGCAGGCAACATGTACACGCTCCTCTAGCAACTTCAATGCAAGACAGACAAATATGCTATGTGCATTTTGCCGTGCTGTTCCTTCTCTAAAAGCTTTTTCAACCTGTATATATTTCCGTGTCAGAACAAATTCAAGCACCATAATTAACCAAGCACTGCAATTCCCAAATCATCTCAAACTCGGTTCCAAAAAGGGAGATCTTATTTGGTTCCTAATTTTAGTTGCAGCTTCATGATAGTAATATCATGTGACAGAAGATTCGTATTGAGTGATAAACTGAACTTTAACCTATTAGAGGGAAAACAGAGCCAAACTTAATAAGACTAGCATAGGATATTTAAGGAGTACAATTTAGTTGACTAGCTTGTCTTCCAATTATAAGAAATACTAAAAAACAAAAAGGCGGTTATTGGTTGAATGATTATGTGAATAGAATCCAAACTATGTCACCCAGATCGTCCAAAAATGCACTGCTTTTGGAGGACCCGACAAACACCCGGCAGCCTTTTTGGAGGATCCAGCAACATAGATTCCCAAACAATTGACTTAGCTCCCTAGAAACATTAAGCAGATAAGAACCTAAATCCTGAACATACTTTGCTCATAATCCGCCTGCTATTCGCTCTCCACAATTGCTTCATAAAAGAAGATTGTTATGGCAAAACATTTATAATATAAGGCTAAGAATATTAAAAATGCAAAAGTTTCTATAAAAAGATACATACAAACTAACTAAAGAATTGTTTAAAATACACAAACTTATTCGACCACCTTAAATTTATAGCCTAGTTGGCAATCTTTCTTTTTGATAAGATAGGGTCCTGTTGGGCCAATCTTTCCGGACACTGAAAGTGCTATTTTAGAGAGTCAGTGTTCAGGCTAAACTTCTCGAAGAAATAGTGATTTGAGTAGTCGGAAAGTAGTTTTTTTGTTGCGGGGAGAAGCAGACAATTGTAACTTCTAAAAGCAGAAGCACAAAATTAATTTTTCAGGACAAAATAAGCTTACCAAACTATCCGTCCTCAATTTATCGAAACACAGATTGCTTCTCTAGTACTGACAAAAGCATCTCTAAAATGAATTGGCCAAACACACACAGAAGCACTTCTCTGAAAATCCAAATTAATAAAAGCACTTCTGAAAATAAACAAATTTTGGAAGCTTAGCAAGATAAGCCCTTATACCTATCATCTTTGATTAGAGAGTAGACTGACAAAAGTCATTTTCCGGAAAGCAAGTAGCTAGATTCAAGCAACTTGATGTTTTCTTATCTAAAACAGACTCGCATTGCTCTGCATCAGATGCTACTTATCCGGAGGTACACAGAAAGCAACTGGTATCTTTTTCTTCAATGTCCAGTTACAGATGGCAACTGTTTTCGAACCTTTCGGGTATCAAATGGCCTATGTCAAGAAACCCTGCTGACTTTCTGAGGAACTGGATTAGGGCAGTGTCAGAAGGAAGGAAGATAACATGGTGAAACACTATAGCAATTACCAGCTTGCATCTGGTGGACAGTTTGGAAAGAGAGGAACTTGAGATGCTTTGAAGATAAACAATGACATTCAGAGGATAAAGGCTAACAGTATTTTTGTTTGTTTTACTTTTGGTGTAGAATGGAACTTGTTAATGAAGCTGAATCTATTTTAGAGTTCCTAGCACTCCTACAGTTTTAGACAGGGATATACTTTTGTCTTCTCCCTTTTGCCACAATGTACAGATCTCCAGCACTGTCTTAATGCTGTATGAATAAAACCTATCATTTTAAAAAAAAACAGACTCCCATTGCTCAAGTTTCTTTAATGATCTCCTGATAAGCAAAACTTCAATAAGTTGAAGACTCCCTCGGGTGAGGACTGTTGGAGGTGACTCGGAGCATTTCCCTGTTGTGATGGGGCTACACCAGGGATCGGCTCTTAGCCCGTTTTTATTTGCCTTGGCGATAGATATACTGTCGCGACACATCCAAGGGGAGGTGCCTTGGTGCATGCTATTTGCCGATGATATAGTATTGATTGACGAGACGCGAAGCGGAGTTAACGCTAGGTTGGAGGTTTTTGGAGACAGACCTTGGAGTCTAAAAGGTTTCAAGTTGAGCAGAACCAAAACAGAATACTTGGAGTGCAAATTCAGTGACGGGACCCATGAAACAGACGTAGAGGTAAAGCTTGATGCTCAAGTTATCCCCAAGAGAGCTAGTTTTAAGTATCTCGGGTCTATTATCCAAGGTAACGGGAAGATTGACGAAGATGTCGCACATCGCATCAGAACGGGATGGATGAAATGGAGGCTCGCTTCCGGTGTTTTATGTGATAAGAATGTGCCACCAAGACTTAAGGGTAAGTTTTATAGAGTGGTGGTTCGACCGACTATGCTGTATGGGGCTGAGTGTTGGCCAGTCAAGAACTCCCACGTGCATAAGTTGAAAGTAGCAGAGATGAGGATGTTGAGATAGATGTGTGGGTGTACTAGGAGAGATAAGATTAAGAATGAAGCTATCTGGGACAGACTGGGAGTAGCCTCCGTGGAGGATAAGATGCGGGAGTCGAGGCTGAGATGGTTCGGACATGTTAAGAGGAGAAGCATTGATGCTCCTGTTAGGAGGTGTGAGAGGTTGGCCATGGCGAGTTTGAGAAGAGGTCGAGGTAGGCCTAAGAAGTACTGGGGAGAGGTGATTAGACAGGACATGGCGCTGTTTCAGCTCACTGAGGACATGACCCTTGATAGGAGGGTGTGGAGGTCGAGGATTAGGGTAGAAGGTTAGTAAGTAGTTTCTTAATTGCTCACCGATAGTCTTAGTGGCACGCATGTCCCTTCATATTCTTAGATTTTTATTGCGGTTATGTGGTTTTGTTCACCCCAGGTATTGTATCCCCTGTTGCTATTGGTACTACTTATCCTTTATCTCCCTCTTTTTCTTCTCTCTTCCGTTCTTGCTTTTCTTTTTCTTCTTCTTCTTCTTCTTCTCACCCTTTCCGAGCTGAGGGTCTATTGGAAACAGCCTCTCTACCTGCATTAGGTAGGGGTAAGGTCTGCGAATAGACTAACACTGTTGGGAACATACTTGGTTTGTTGTTGTTTGTTAGTACTACTTTAGAACCTTCTTGCGAATAGACTAACACTCTGTTTGGATCATTGTTACCAATCGTTTTATAATGTATTGTACGGTACTGTATTGTATCGTTTTATGGATATGACGTTTGGATAGTTTGTATCGTTTGCTGTTATTTAATAATATTTTTATTATTTGGTTTGACTCCCGCAAAAGAAATTGCGGCAGTCTCAACTGGATAAATGAACAGCTTGTATCGTACTATACTGTAACTGATAAGTTTACTAAAATACCCTAAATTGTATTAAATATTAAATTTATCCAGAATTACGCATAAAAATAATTTAAGAAAATCTCTTTCTACTAATTTATCACCAATTATGTAGCTTGGAAACAAGAGCAAAAACCTGAAGAAAAAGATTAACTATTATTAGCAACAAAAGAAAAAATCATAGAACGATGGAAAGAAACAAAAAAACGAACAGTGATTTGGAGATTTGGATGAAAAGAATGGCACGAACCAATTGTAGAAAAGATGGACGAACACAAAGTTGGTCAATAGGTTGGAGATTTGGAGTTAAAATAAAAGAAAAAAGTAAAAAGTAAAATAGAATTATGGAGTAATAAGTAAGGGCATAATTGGAAAGAAAATTAGGAAACAATCCCACCACACCAAATTGGTTGTTTCATAAAATAGGGCTTTTCGTTGTTTCGGAACAATAGATTTAACAATACAATACAATCAATTTTAAATAAACAATCAAAACAAATATTGTTTTGGGATAACAATACAACACGATACAATGGGTAGCAACCATCCAAACAAGATGTAAAGCGCCTGGTACTAACAACAGAAGCAAGGGAAGGGCTTACCTGCTCTTTAAAAATTACAGTTGCAGCATCTAGAAGAAATTCTCGCGCAAGTTCAGGACTCTTCGCATGTTTTTGAGGACGGGAACATTCACCATCAAGGTCATTTCCATCCTTGTCCATGGAGTTATCATCCTTATAAGGAAACATCAAGCAACAACCATAAGATTGAGAATTTCACAACATAAAGAATATCTTAGCATCTGATAGCAATACTAAATAATGAAAGAGCAGCAACAAAGGGATACTTAAGAAGCCTCATAAACTTGACTACCTCTTCTTCTTCAGCTTCTTCAGCATGCTCAAAGAACCTTCTAATGCTTTCACCTCTTGTTATGGTTACAAAACCGTCCCCAACCACAAGTCTGCAATGTACACATTGTTGCCCCTTCAAGGCATGTGCTTTGACTGAAAGCTCGGTACATCTGCCGTCCATTTTCCATGCGCGTAAAGTGATGTAGCAGGAATTCAAACCACCCAAGTCAAGACCATTAACTTGAACTCTTCCACTCAAGCCAACATTTTCATAGTCCAATATATCACATTTTCCTTCTCCCGTTCCAACTGCCCATTCAAAGTGGTGATATGTCCCAAAGTTGTCAATGAAAGTCTGATGCCAATCAGCATGGATTGTGTCATTAGAAACCTGAGAATATGAAAGTAAACTGGCATCAAACTGGGAGCATAAAATGGTAACTACTTCAACTATTTCTTAAGATCCAGGAATCAAAGCATCAGCTTCTTAGGTCTTCCTGTCTCTCATTATTTTTCTCTCCTTCACATTCAATTTTGTGGGTAGGGGGAGCAGGGTAGGAGAGTGAATTCATGCCAGTGTTATATTCATTTGCAGCCTTTCCTTGACAAAAAGAAACAGCTTCAAGGGATTAATGTGCAGGGAAAACTATATTTACCATAGCACAATTTTAACAATGTAATAGCCCTTGAATATTAATATTAAAGTGGCAGCAGAAACATTTCATTTCCCCAAAAATATAAGAAAGCAGAAAAGGGAAAGATATAGCTAAATTTCCACATTTGTGCTTCACAAACCAAAAAAAAGAAAAAAATGAAAAAGTTGACGTTGAAAAATAATCACACCTCGTACTGGAAAGCTGTATCCGCAACACAGAACCAACTAGTGCAACGAGGTTCTCTGCGCATACGCTTCAATTCTTTCAGTTCCTTGAACTCACGGATAACATTCTTTCTGCAATCTCTGCAAAACCTCTTGCTATCAAACCTGCAACCAAAAACTTCTAAAATAAGCAAATTATCTATTAAATATGTTTTAAAAAGAAATCCTGGCGTCCATCTAAAGGACAGAAAAGAATATGGGAACTTGATGTTCCAGTGATTGTATCTGCGGCAGGAAACAGAGACCACCTACAGTGGATATTAACTTGCTAACAGCGAGGCAGGTTACCGAGACTTTTCTTATTGAAATACTGCCGCAACCTGCACTCTTGCTATAACTTCAGCATCCAATAACAGGAAAATCACCCAATATAATTGCTGATGTTAAGTCCTTGAATCAACGATCAAGATCAAAGCCAATATTGCTTGACACATCAATGTCATTAAAAAGAATTTCTGGGCTCTTGTACATTATACTACCTTGGCTCTTATATCAGACATACCTATCCCTTACAACCTTAAAGTTAAACTCAAAAATACTTCCTTTCCTAACAATTATAGGTTATAGCTTGATTTAAAAAGATCCTTTTACCTCCGTTTTAAAAGGCACACACTAAGATAACCACCAGTGATTGATCATAATTAAAATAACCACTTAACTTCAGTCGTGAACTCCAGAAATCATTTGAGGAAGCTCCACCAACAATTACACCCACATAGAGAAATCACCACCGATTACACCGCACCAAAGCAGAACTAATATACAAACAGATTTAAGTGGTATTTGCTCCTCGAGAATTTTACACCACATTGGATAAAACTACAAGATAAATTCATGGGGCTCGAGAATAGCTAAAACTCTAGACAATTCCCCATAAGCAGCAAAAGATTAGAAGCATATATGGTGAGGATGTGTCAAAACTTTGGGCAGCTAAGCAGCACACTAGTATATAACCCCTTTAGCTCCTTACAACAGAAAGGTAGTTGGTGTTCCCTTTCTTGTATCTAATTTTTCCTAAATTCTACAGAGGTAAAAGAAGCAGGAACATATCTCATAGCTATAGTGACTAAGTTGGGCATATGAAAACTAAAGGGAAAACAATTAGTGTTTCGATGCCCCACCATACTGCTGAATAAAGACACTTCTTGAAGTTGGTTCTAGAAAGCTCCACTGCCTACGAAAAATATTGGAAAATCGTACACTTACGGATAGCTTTCATCAACTAAAATTTCTTTTCTTTTTCAATCAGTATAACTCTTCAATCATCTTTTTCTTGTTCATTTCCTTAAAAGTAGAAAGTGAATCCTTATTGAATTGGCATCTCCATATATGACATTCACACCATGGGAAAGAAAGGATTACGAGAAGGAAACATGACACTTCACTCACTTCTTCAAACTTAATGGACCAAAATTTCCTCTGACCTGATACATTCCTATAAAAGGCAACCTGTTATTGAGCTATCCTTTTATTTGCACAACCCATTAATCTAGATTTCACGTAAGCTCCTCTACCCACCTTCTGAATTCTCTAATCATGTGTACATCATTCAGTAAAACAACTCTTTGCTCCTGAAGAATACAGCCACAGATCCACCCCTTACGAGCTAGAGAAATTGACAATCAACTTTTAGTATAAATGAGCACTTCCAAATATCTTAATATTGATTCACACATGGTCTCCCAGTCATTTTACATAACTTCTTCGCCGAACTGGTGACAGTCCTAGCACATCAGATTTCAAACAGTAAAATCAGTAGGCCTCGTGATCTTAAGACCTTTGGTCTTCAAAGGATGAGATTAGAATTCAAAACCCCTCAATTATACATGCATTTGTAAGATTAATAACCGTCTCAGCACAATGCATCTAATGACTGAATTACACACTGGATGGTTAGGAAGCAAAAGAGGGTGAGAATAAGTATTCAAAGAATAAGAAATTGAATGAATGACAATGTACACAAACCTGTAAAGGAGCCTTTCAATGAAATCCTCTTCCTTCATTCTTAAAAGAGATTGTCGTGTCTCTTCTCCAAGGGCAGACCAAAAATCCACCAATGTGTCGACGGAAAGCCTAGCTGTATGAAGAGCACATGTTTCTCTTGTTCCATGCCCTCTGACGTAGCCTGTCATTCCGTGGCTTATCCAACCCCTACCACCTCCACCACATGCATCAGGATAAAGCAGTTCTCTCTCCCGTTCCCTTGCACGTGCACTGTCAAACACCTGATTCAAAGGAAAGGTAAGAGGAAAGTGGAAGATTATGGAGAAATATATTTATTGAGGAAAATAAATATACATTTTGAAGCCCCTCCAAGGACTTTGTATATATATAACAGTCCAATAAGGTAAGTGCTCCATCTCGTGTCGTGGTCAGACCTCCCCAAGGATGGACGGATGGATCTTGAGCGTCATCCTCACAACCTGTTGTCACACACAAACCCCCATCACACTGATTCTTCAAGGCCCTTACTCTGCCGGAAGGGTGGTTCGCACACGCTCCCTCCTGCTGCAAAGACTTTCCATACATGACAATTTGCAAAAACCCTTCAAGCAGTAACCCATTGCATCTAGAACAGTACATGTGCTTACGAGCTTGCTCAAAAAGGATTTGCTTATCAATCCTCAGAAGCTCCTGCCTCTCTTGGGGTGATAGCTCGCTCCAGAACTACAAACCGATAAAAGAAACATTTTGCATCATTCACTTGCTATTAGAACTAAATCACATCGATTTAAGTAATCGAGCAATTCATACTTATAAAACATGAAAATAAAATTGAATCCTGGTTATCCTGAAACATTCTACATGTAACTGAATTCATAGATAAAGCATTGCTGTAAAACAGTAAAGGAATTTCACTCCAACTAATCAATCATTTCTTAATTCAAAAAACCCATTAAAGATTTTGCGACAGCACATTTTTTCTTTAGATTGTTGCGAACTTCTTACATTCATATGACATTACCACATTGATAACTACTACGAGTCTAAGTTATACACACTGTCACTATAAGGAATTTTTACACCATTACAGGTCACCTTTACCTATTGTGGCAGGTAACCTATCTTATTTTCAAGATTTTGCTACAGCAATATTGTTCTTTAGATTGTGGTGAGCTTCTAACGTTCCGTATAACCAAAAAAAATTAATAACTACAAAAACTTAGTTCAATTCATAAAACCACTCCATTAACCCATTATTACATCACAAGATCCAAATACAAACTCACAGTCACCAATCCAAATTCACCAACAAAAAAAAGTAAAATTACTACAACCCAAAATTCAGAATATTTAAAAAAAAAAAAAAGGAAGAATCCAAATTGACTACCTTCTGGAGCTCATTGTGGCCGATGCCATCGTTATGCTTTGACCAGAACCCATTACGCGAATCCGACCCACCCAATTCGTGATCATTTCTCTGTGCTAAACCCGGCATTTTTCTTCTTTTATTATCAATTCCTTGTAGATTCAATTTTCATTCTTGATTCAAAAACCCACCCAAATATCTTATGTTTATCAATTCAATCTGAACAACACATAAATACCCAGATTATTATAGATCGAAAATGAAAATTCCCACAATTTTATGCCAATAACTATATATTTTATATAATTAAAAAATTTAAGCGTATCAATCCTATAAAATTCTGATTAGATAGAGCAGTGGATTGAGAATTTAAAAAAGTGAAATCGGATTGGGAATTTAGAAAGAAAATGGGGGAGAAAGGGGGAAGATAGATATAGGGGTTTTTGCTGATGAGATTTGGTTATGTGCCTCTCTGTATTTATATGTGAGTGTGTATTCTTCATTTTCATATATATACGTGGAGACAGGAGTTGCTTGGTGCTTGGGTTAATTTTCCAAATAGATGAAATGCTACTGTTACATTGGAATTTTCCATTTCTGCTTTAACATTAGATAAGTTTAAAATGGTTTTATTAGAATTTAAATTTAATTATAACGAAAATTAAAAAATTATTTCAAAGTTAAATGCGCTTGAATTTTTTATACTTGGTTGTAATTTTTGGATGTTGTTAGATGTCTATTTTGATATAGTCGATTCACGGGGTAGGCGATAAGAATTGAAAGTTCTTTTTTTTTTTTTTCATTTTTTACTTATCTAAAGAAATTTAAGATTCTGATCATTTCAATCAATCAATTTAAATAAGTTATACTTTATGTTGAGATGCTAATGTTAAATCTATAAGTTTACAAGAGAAACTTTTTCATTGGTCAAATATTTTAGATTTGCTTTCCTTTGTAAAATAACTTTATTGTGGACATTTCATATTTTTATTCACATGAATATTCTATCTATAACAATCAAGATAATGTTAATACATTAAAAATAAACCTCTGTGAACCAATTATTTTCTGAAAGTTTTCCTAAATTCTATAGAAGGATAAAATGACAATTGATATTTCTATTTTATTTAGTTTTTTGAACAGAATGGTGCCTTTGTTGATTTCAAAATTGACATACTCGATCAAGAAGTTTAAGAAATAAAAATTAAATCAATATTACGCTTATTTAGGACTTCTACATGTGCTTATACCAATATTATGGTCTTTGGTTGCATATACTTTATAATTTAGGAAAGGACCAAAGTATACTTGAACCATTGAAACAATCATACCTTCTGCCTATTTTTGGCACAAAATTGCTCTCACTGTTACTCAATTTGTAAATACGTTCTAAGTAACAATCTGGTTAACCACAATAACCCAAACCACATTTCTGTACAAAACGACATAGAAGAAGACCTTTTCTCCACAGACGAAACTGAAAATGTTTTTGACGATGAGCCAGATGTTTTCAATTTTCATACCTATTACTTCCTCTGATAAAGAACATATTTACAAAAATTGGGAAAATGCCCTTATAGTTAAGGTCTTTGGGAAAAGGATGGGTTACCAGTACTTACAAAAAAAAATTTGCAAGCAATATGGAAACCATCTGAAGCCTTATCCCTCCTAGACCTGGGAAGTGATTATTATCTTATTAGTTTAACAAATTAGAAAATTACAACAAAGCTCTTCACGGGGACCTTGGTTCATAGGGAATCAACTCCTTACCGTTAGAAAATGGGAGCCTAGATTTGTGGCTTCTGAAGCTTCTCTAACCTACTCGGCCATATGGGCTAGATTACTTCCTACAGAATTTTATGACTATGATATCTTACAAAAAAATAGGAAATAAACTAGGGGAATTAATTCGCATTGATGCTTGCACATCTTTAGCTCTAAGAGGAAAATATGCGAGACTGTGCATCCTAGTACCGATCGAAAAACCTCTTAAGTCTCATATTATTTTGGGTAAACACTTCCAAAGGGTCACCTATGAGGGTTTCAATGTCCTATGTACCAGCTGTGGCAGGCTGAGACACCTCTCGATATGTCCTCACTTCAAGAAGGAAAACTCGAAAGAAACCAACAAAGTAAACAACACAATCAAAATACACAGGACATGAACTTCATAACCAGCAAGATTGACAATTGGACAATAGTTTCTCATCAAAAACTAAAGAAGAAACAAGAGGAGGGGCAGTCCAGCAATGTCAAAACACAAGGTTACAAGCAGACCACCAATGGGGGCCACTCCCAAGCAAGCTCGTCGGAACTCCACAACGGAGGCAGTCAGGGTCAAAATCCAACCAAAAGAGTAACTGGACAAAAAGAGGCCTCGTTAGTTGAAGAATGCATAGACATAATAGGCAAATATCAAGTCCACACTAGGGCATACAATCAACCTAAATATGCTTTAATTACCAACTCAAAAGCTTATGCTAGTTCACCCAAGGATCTAGAGAGATTTAAAGCTATTGACCAACAAGCCGAGGAGGAACCAATGGATAATAAAGAAGAGCAAAAAGCATCTTTCAATCAACCTCTATTAAGCAATATGGTAACAAGTCAAGTCAAATAAATAGCCTTAAAGAACATATTGTCAGCTCCTCATCAATTACCAAAAGTCCACATTCCTTTGTCCCATAGTTAATGCACATAATCCTGTTAAGGTTAATGACATAGGCACCACTCAATTACCTTTACCAAAGGAATACAAGGTTATGGCCATAGACCCATCACTAAGAGATCACATCAAAACAAGATTAAATAAAAGCCCAAATCTCTCCCAAAACTCAGGCAATATATCTCCGCAGAACAGTTTTAGTTCTTTGCAAAATTTCACAACTTCACATTCTCTTCTTGATACTTAGACTTTTTATATGATTTTGTTGAGAAATTAAGGCATTTGTTGAGGTTTATTAGAATATTTTAGGTATCAAGTGATTTAGAGAAGATACGGAAGAAAACAAGCCAAAATATATTAAAATAAGAAAAATGGACGGGTGCCAGGTAATGCTCTTCTCGATCGCGAAGATTGCGAAGATTCTTATGCGAACACATAAGTCCAGGAAAATATACTTCGCGAATGCGGAGCAAATGCTGCGAACGCAAAGAAGAAAGTTGGTCAGTTGTTGTCAGGTGCCCTAGGCGAACGCGAGGCTTAGTGTGCGATCACGATGCTTTGCAGCATTACTCTTCGCTATCGCAATCTTACTTTCGAGAACGCTATTCACAAGTCTAGGCAGAAATCTGGGCAATTTTGGCATTTCACATTTTTTACCCCAAAACCATTTAATACACGATTCATCTCATTTGTAAAAGATCTTTGGCTTATTTTCAGTCTCTTGACTAGAGAACACAAGTTTTGGAGCTAGGATTTTTGCACACATACTTGGGGCTTGAAGATTTGAAGCTTTTGGTTGAGAATTTCTTACCCATTTATGTTCATTTCTTCATTTCTTTGCTTTGTATTGTATATCTAAGTGTGTGGTATTATTTTCCAACACTTGAATCTTGTTTATGGGAATATTCATATTTAAAGTATGGATTAAATATCTTATTGTTCTTATGTATTGAACGATATTTATCTATATTGAAGTGAGTTATTGTTTCTTTAATTATTCTTGTTATTTAATGTTTCCAAAGGGAGTAGCTAACTCTAGGACTCGCCCCTTAACTTCGAATTAATTTTAAAAAATAATTTGGGGTTGGGAAAGACTAATTAACAAGAACTTGAGGCGTTAACCCTCACTTTATAGATTCTACCTAGGGATAGGATTGAACTACTTGTAGCCATATTTGGGTGTGCTTAATATCTTAATTTTTTTAGGGATAATTCAATTAGGAAGTCTTGTTAGTCTTCGGAAGAAGCTAATATAGAACTATTACCCGAGGCTAATTAACATAAACTCGTTCATATTTGTAAAATCGTAAAATACATTGGATCATTACTTAAGTGTAATTTCCATTGCATCTATGCTTGTAGCCATTGATCATTTTACTTGCTTTCTAGGTTATTTATATTTTCACATTTAAACACAAATATTTTCTCAAAACCTTTCTAAGTGTTTGGCTTAGCATAATAAGTGATAATTCTCTTACATGCCTAATCGCCTACATATTATTCTCTGTGGGATTCGACCCCGACTCATAGTTGGGTAAATTATATTGCATGCGACCATGTCCATTTACTTTTTAGTAGTGAATTTGGACGTCATCAAAATTGGCGCCATTGTTAGGGAACAATTTGGCGTATTTAGGTTGTTTGAGAAGTAAGTGTATGTGCTTTGGTCCAAACTTATGAATATTTGTGTAATTATTTTTCTTATCTTGTTTATTTTATTTTTTCTTGTTTTTTTATTGTTTATATTTCTTGTTTGTTTTCTTAGATTTTGAAAAATGGCATCGCATAATAAAAATTGGTCGGATGGTAGTTGTTCATGCGTTAATGACCCTTGTCCTTATTATGGAGGACCACACTCGTGGCAAAATTATTTAAATTCTCCCGAGGGGCGGATTGTGTGCACAATCTCAAACCCATGAGTGGAGTATTTGTGATAAGTGTGGTGGTTAAAATGGTCATTGGACTAATTGTGTTTATTTGTCCTCCCCTTCCCCGAACCCCCACTATGATGATTCTACTTTTTGTGATGACAAGTATAGGGATATGGAAGCGAAAAAAATTGAACATGGTCAAAATGGAGAGTTTAAGGTCATAGTGGAATGTCTACCTGAGGGAGGAAACAAAGAGCAAAATGCCTTGGAGGAGCTTTTGAAAAATAGTATCCAAAATGATTTGGTGCTTGAAAGGTTGAACTCACAAATGGGAGAAATGCTTGAAGCTTTGGAGGTCCAAAAAGCCTCGGAATTGAATGATAGCCAAGAACCTTCCTTAGAGGTTGAAGCCGCAAATCCTTCTTTGGCACTTGATCAAAACCAAGAAGAACTCTCAAATGCTCAAAATGAGAGGATGATGTTCATGTTGGAGGCCATTCTTGAAAATGAGGAGAAGCACAACTTGGCACTCGAGGACTTGAAATAAGTTTTGACTCAAAATGATGAGAATATCCACACTTTGGAAGCTCAAATAAAAATATTGGTTGAGGCTCACTATGCCCACCAACTTGAGAGCTTGGAAAGGGTTCAAGAAAAGTCCAACTTCGAGGAAAAAAGTGAGCTTTATTTTGAGGAATCAAGAATTGAACATCCGTCAACCGATTCCATGCTTGTTAGTGGTGCCAAAAAAAATATGAAATTAGAGTCAACCAATGTAGTTGAAAAGATGGTTGAAGTTGACTCTAGTTTGGGGGACCAAGAGGATGTCAAAATCCGGAAGGAATTGACATTTGGAGGCTTGATGTCACATTCCAAGCATTTCTCAACATTGGAGTTGTGTGGTGATATGGGAATTGAACTACACGAATCAATGTGGGGGTGTAGAGAAGAAAGACAAAGAGCCATACATCTTGAAATTTAAATATTCAAGAACGCAAAATGACATTCCTCACATGAAAGCCAAGAAATGCAAAATGAAGAAAATGGCATGTGGCTTGATCATCTACTTACCCCCCCTCCCCCCATCACTCGTAGTCACAAGTTTGATTCCAAGTTAGGTACCCGGTTCATATCTTTCAAGTGGCAAAAAAAGTGGTAAAGTTGATTCACGTCGTGCCACGACGTTAAATGCGGCGCTTGGTGGGAGGCAACCCATCGTTTTCAACTTTTTAGTCATTTTAAACATTTTCATTTTGTTTTTAAATTTTTATTTTTAGAATAGTTAATTTGTTATTTCTGATCAATCTACCAAGTTGCAGGAAGTTTGGAATTATTCAGGACACAAAGTAGGGAGATTGGGCAGTGAGAAAAATCAAGCCCAGGCTAGTGATCGGTTATTGAGGAAGACTTAGCTTAGGGATGAGAAGTAAGGAGACTCCAACATTCATTTCTATTTTGTTTTTGTTTTTAAGCCTATTGGCTGACATTGGCATTAAGACTTAATGAATTTATTCACATATACCTACTTTCTTTCATTTAGGTAGGCGTGGTAAAGGATCTCGCTCGAAAGAAACTCTTCACCTACTCAATTGGAATGACTTTTACCCTTACTTATCTCTTTACTCAGAGAAGTCCCTCTCGGAGCTATTCCCAGATGCTGTGTCTCTTGACTCTGCCCCTGAAAAGAAAGGGCGGGAAGACTTTTGACATATGCTGGGGAGGGATTGGGGTCTCTTTTCTTTAGGAATTTAGTCGGGCCTCTGATTTCGCAATTGCGAGCAGAGGTCCGCATTTGCGAGCATCTAGCCCACCGCAAAATCGAAGAACTAGTCGTAATTGTGAACACTGCTGACTATTCATCAATCGCAATTGCGAACTCTCAGGCGTAATTGCGACCACTGAAACAACTTAAACGAGGTTTTGCATAATATTTAACAAAAGTTCCCAAAAATATTTTGAGGCTTTAAAATTGAACGACTGGTATCTTTCTCACTGTCCTACCTCTCAAGTTCCACCATTTCTCACTCCTAATTGCAAGTATCAAGGTATGAAAGCTTACTCTTTGTGCTCTTCATGAGTTGTAGTATCTTCTTCTTCTTTTTCTCTAGTTTATCTCTCAACAGTTAGGGTTCAAAGTTGGTCATTTTCTTTTGTACGAAATTATTTGAAAAAATGGTCAAATCATGTGTTGATTTCTGGGTGAGGTTGGTTTTAGAGTGTAAGCTTATTTCTTTGCTTGAAAATGGGGAAGTCTGAGTACCCATGGCTTTGTTAAAATAGAAGTGATTTTGTATCTTTACTATGTGTTCGATGAAAGGCCCAAATGAGATTCTTGGCTGAATTATTAAAATTTCTTCAATTTGTGGTTGTGTGTGAAGTTTATTGCATGATTTTGTGCCTAAAATTGATTGGACTCTTTAAAAGTGTGATTTTGTTCGAAAATTTTGTGGCTAGACTATTCTGGGTTTGAAGAGCTCCTGGGGATGATGGAATCGCAATTGCGATACGCTTTTCGCATTTGCGATGATTGTTCCACAATTGCGACTTCTGGGATTCCTGCTGCCTTCGCAATTACGAAAAAATTGTCGCAATTGTGAAGAAATTGTCGCAATTGCGATATCAGAGAGTAGGCTTCTGCTAAACTGAAAATCCTAAAAAAAATTCTAAGGCTGGGTTTTGTCTGTCCAATTATTTCTTTGGCATTGGACTCATTTTGCAATATAATTCATAGTCATACCACGTTTTCACTCCAATACTTTGTTTACAGGTACCATAAGCTGAAAATGAGTTCTAACTCCGACGAATCCGCACATGACAACCCTTTGGAAGTAGAGGAGAACTATGATCAACACCGGTTCTTGTCATTGTAATGCCAAGAATGGTATTATGCCGAGTTGATTTTCTTACTGGGGAATAAATCTCCAGTCATAGGCTCCAGATATTTTATAATAGAAGGAGATTCATACCCAACATATATCTCCAACTTTCTTTGGGGACCCATCTTTGTGCGTTGTGGTGGAGCAATTGGAACATATACTGCACATCCAAAGATTCTAAGATGGGAAATATTTGGCTCCTGACCAAAAGCCAATTGCAATGAGGAGACTTTATGATAACTTATAGGCCTTGTCCGCACAAGTGCTGCTGCATGCAAAATAGCATGACCTCATACTGAAATGGGGAGTTTTGTTCTCATAAGCATTGGTCTAGCAATTAATTGGAGGCGTTTGATCAATGATTATGCTAGACCATTTTTGTGTATGAACATGAGCAACCGGATGCTCAATTATTATCCCAATTGATATACAATAATCAGTAAAGGCCCGAGATGTAAACTCACCAGCATTATCAAGACGAATTATCTTAATTGTATAATCTGGAAATTGTGCTCTTAGCTTTATTATTTGAGCCAACAATCTCGCAAATGCCATACTGCGAGTTGATAATAAGCACGCATGTGACTATCTTGTAGATGCATCTACCAAAATCATATAATATCTAAATGGTCCACATGGAGGGTGAATGAGCCCACATATATCACCATGTATACATTCCAAAAATATAAGGGATTACCTCCTAACTTTAATAGTTGATGGTTTAATAATTAATTAGCCTTGAGAACATGTAGCACAAGAGAATTTCTTAAATTGAAGAATCTTTTGGTTCTTCATTGAATGTCCATGTGAATTCTCAATTATTTTAAGCATCATAATAGAACCAGGATGATCCAACCGGTCATGCCAAATAATAAAATTATCTTGATTAGTAAACTTTTTATTTACTATGGCATGTGTTTCAATCCTGCTAATACTTGTGTAATATAAGCCGGAGAAAATGGCAGGTAACATTTCAAGCACATATTTCTTACCCGACTTTATTGTAGTAATATAAAGATATTCAATCTTTTCATTATTTGTAGTCTCAATGTGATATCCATTTTGGAGAATATCTTTGAAACATAGTAAGTTTCTTTGAGGCTTACTACAATATAATGCTTCATTAATAACCATATAATGCTTCATTAATAACCAAATTTATTCCTCCGGGTAGTAATAAATTTGCTTTTCCTAAGCCTTCAATTAATCTTGTACTGCCAGATATTGTATTAACATTGGCTTCTTTCATCACCAAATAAGAGAAATATCTTGTATCTCTTAAAATAGTATGTGTTGTAGCACTATCTAAAAGACATATATCATCTTTATTGATCTTGGATCTAACTGAAGACTGAGGAATTTTCATATTCTTCATAAATAAATAAAAAGTACATCATAAGAAATACGAAAGACTATAAATAAAAGAAACATTAGAAATTACACGAGGAATATAGAAACTAGCATATATGATGCTTTAGGAAAGTACACTTAAGAAGAACAAACTACATAAAGACATAATATGAAAATAATAACTTTTCTTAAAGCTTTATTCCCCAGTAAGATAATCAATTCCTCAGTCAATATCCTCAAAAGTCTCCAGCTTCTAAATGAGTAATATTTGCAAGGCCTCCAAAATTATCATCTTTATAGGCAAGATTTGCCTCAGCATCATCATATTTGTTTGAGGGCCCGCTTTATTATCATCATTTTGAAAAGTCAAGTATGCCGTCACATTGTTATCTTTTCTTTTATTGGATGCTTGATAAAGTTTGACAAAATGGTCAGGTGTACGACAAGCACGAGCCCAATGACCTTTCATACCACACCAGTGGCAAATATTATCTCTGCCTTTCAAAAGATTATTTTGAGGATCCTTATTATTTTTTTGTTTATTTCCTCCATGATGACGATAATTATTTCATCCCCTTCCATATCTTTGTCCACGTTCACGACTATGGCCACGGCCACGACCACGATAATAATTTTGTCTTCTTTCAGACTTTTGAGTAGCTGCTGCCATATTCACTTCGAAAAATGGTACAGATCCAGTGGGCCGAGTTTCATGATTTTTCATTAAAAGGGTATTATGTTTCTCAGTCACCAGGAGGCATGAGATTAATTCAGAATATTTCTTTAAACCCTTTTCACGGTATTGTTGCTGCAATACCATATTTGATTCATGAAAAGTAGAAAGAGTCTTTTCCAGTAAATCCTCATCATTCACAATTTTCCCACATAATTTAAGTTGGGAAGTTATCCTGAATACAACAGAATTATATTCACTTACAGTTTTAAAAATGTGTAATCGTAAGTGAATCAATTCATATCGAGCTCTTGGCAATATCGTTGCCTTAAGATGGTCATATCGTTCCTTCAAACTGCTCCATAATTTAAATGGATCCTTTAGGGTTAAGTATTCGGTCTTTAACCCTCCATCGAGATGATGACGAAGGAAAATCATAGCCTTTGCTTTATCCTGGCATGATGTTTCATTTCCTTGTATAATAGTATTTTTAAGAGCTTTTGCAGCAAGGTGAATTTCAGCATCAAGGACCCATGATAAATAATTCTTTCCGGAGATGTCAAGTACCACAAATTCAAGCTTTGATAAATTCGACATAATGAAAACTATCATAAAAAATAGATAAATTAGAAGCAATTTGGGTAATTATAAAACAAGAAAAAATAATAATAAATCATGTAATATGGTATTCATATTTATATAAACAGAATTTACCAAAAATTTTTAATCAATAAAATTAACCGAAAATTTATGTGCCAGATTCTTAATTGAATTAAGAGAAAAATAAACAAAAATAGAGGTAAACGCTCAGCTGTAATTATGGCAAAATTGTTACGAAATGATGTAATATATGTATTCTATAATTTCTTATAATATCTTAATAATAATTTTATAATGATCTTACAATCTAAATTAACTGGTATATGTGCAGATTAGCAATCAACCTTGAAAAAAAGAAATTCTCCGGACGTAATAACAATGATATGACAACTTTAAAAGAAACATACTAGAAAGCAGAGTGGTGGTAGCTAGTGTGTGCCGGATCGGACTTGAGTAGAAGCTAATTCGTGCTGATAACGTATTATAAATATTACTCAAAGTAATAATACAGAACAAGAAAAAATAAACTAAGAGATATAGAGAGAAAGAGAGAAAAAGATATTCTTATTTCTTTTTCAATTGTGTGTATTTTCCTATCTATTACAAGACCTTTATATATGCATGAAAAGTGAAGAAAAATATGACATTGAATATGTCATTAAGCATATAAATATGTCATTGAATATATCATTAAGCATTTGAAAAGATCATGGATGAAGAATAGACATCCACCATAATTTGATTTTTCTTATAACAAAATATTAAATTTTTCGTATGTGACTGTTTTTTTAATTACTTTATAAAAGTTATTACTCCCCACTAATTTCGAAAGGAAGGAAGCTGGTCTATCCTATCACATCTTTGGATGGTAATTCAATGTAGTAGTATTTTTTAACTAACAATAAATCAAATTACTCCTAATATTTAAATTCCACGTCCAAATACAAAAAGCAATGGAGTAGTACAATAATTGTCTATTTCAAATAGTAGTATAATTTGTAACTTATGGCATATATATATGGAGTAATAAAAAAAAATCTGTTTCTCCACTAGTTCTCAGATCACCCACAAATACACATCATCTCTAATTTTCTCTCCCGATAAAAAATTAAAAATGGCGTCAACTCTCTTCTCCTATCTCAAATACTCCGATGGCTTAACAATCGTAGGAATCTCAATCTGCACAGCCGTAATCTGCGAAGCAATCTCATGGGTTCTCATCTACCGCACCACTTCCTACAACTCCCTCAAATCCAACATCGACAAAGCTTCCAAAAAGCTCGAAACCATGAAAACCCTCGAATCCAAAAAGCCCAACAAATCCAAGAAAATCGACAGATTCGAAACTTCACTTAAAGATTCAAGCCGGGATCTTTCCCTTTTTAAATTCAAATCTGGGTTCGTTGTTGCCATTGTGCTTTTTATGGTTTTTGCGTTTCTTAACAGTCTCTTCGAGGGTAAAGTTGTTGCGAAATTGCCGTTTGTGCCCTTCAGAATTATTCAGAAGATGAGTCACAGAGGGTTGCCAGGGAATGATATGACGGATTGTTCGATGGCGTTTTTGTACTTGCTTTGTTCGATGAGTATTAGGACTAATCTTCAGAAATTCTTGGGATTCTCGCCGCCACGTGGAGCTGCTGGTGCTGGCCTCTTCCCCTTGCCTGATCCAAAAACCAATTAATCGATGGATCTTTCTACTTTGGGTACTTTTTATTTTTTTAGTTCGGAATTATAATTCTTCAGTTATAAGATTAGCTGTTGCTATTTTGATTGTGTTTTTCAATTTGAAGTTATAATAAGATACTTAATTAATTCGAGTTCAGAATGATTCATCGATTTGCTTGAATTGGATTTCTGTGCCTTCTGTTTTCTAGTTTTCACAACTGCAAATTGCAAAGCATATTCATTTAGGCTGAAGAGGAGCGTAGAGAAATTTGAACTCATCAAAAGTGAACTATAAAGAGATCGGATGATTTATCTACTTTCAGTGGCTAGTTTAGTTAATGAATGGCTATACCTCTTTTTGCTCCTTTTCTCATTTCTTTGCCTGTTGCTCCTTTCTTGAGCTCTTTTAGTTTAACCTCAATATCTTCCCATCAGCGCATTTACTGTGTGGCTCTGACGTTATGTTCTTTACATGTAAATGATTAAATTGTTAGCAATTGTCCCAAATACTGCAACCTGCCAATTCGTCCATTAGATCTCCCAAAGTTCATGCGACAGACGGCTAACACCTAGGGGATTTCCCACTCTTTACATTATTGCTAATGTATTACTATATACATTGTGATATAGTGTCGCAAACAAAATCTTGGATCAAAAGGCATGGAACTCTATCCTTTTCTTTGATAGATTCTTATGTAGCTGTAGTTTCCTAGAGGTTTAATGTGATTCCTGATTTTCTTAAACTGAGGAATCACTACGAAACTACAGATTAATAAGATCTCAAAGAATGAAAGGATAGATAGAGCTCCAAGTAAAGTTTGGGATACTTAAAGGCAGGACTATATACTGTCCACTAGGCACGAAGTTTAAGAAAAATAAGGAATACTTTGAAATTTTGTGGTCTTAAACTAAGATGTGTATAATGTACTAAAATGCCCTTGAATCTTGTGGTCTTAATTATGCCATGTGGAATGTTGGAGTTAAAGAATTACTAAATATAGAAAGAGACATTCTTTTTGAAACAAATGAAAAAGGAAAGACACATTAATTGAAACCAGTGTTTTAAAAGATGTGGGCGTAAGGCGAGGTGTTTTATATAAGCCTCAGCANATATATATATATATAGATGTGTTCCATCCCCACAAAAATCTAGTCAAAACAATCTATTATACGCTACTTAGAAGTACAAGTAACATGAGTCGAAAAGAATAAAGTTTTCTATATGGAGGAACAAAAAAGGATACTAACCTACAATTTGAACTTTGAATTTGATGCTACGAAAGAGAATAGAGTTCTCTTTGTATTTGTAAAAAACAAATTGAATATTCGTTGCTTTTGGGAGATATTAGCAGACTAGCGGACAAGATAAAGAATTGGGAAAGACCGTGAATTAGTGCTTCAATCAGTAAAAAAAGGTCTTGATTTTTAAATTTAATACATTTCAGTTCCTTTTTAAAACTTTTGAGTTATTAGTTATTACCAAGCTGAATTTTGAGAATTTGGGTAGTATATGGACTTATTCAACAAATTTTGTTTTAATTTGAAAGTCTCTGGTACTTACGCCTCACTAAAAAAACGCGCCTCAAACGCCCGGGCGTACGCCTCTTGAGACTTTCGTCCCACATCATCGCCTCGGGACGTTTTTGGTGCGCCTCGCCCCGCCTTTTAAAACACTGATTGAAACAGAGGAAGTAGATACTGTTTCAAATATGATCTCAAATATCTGCCAACACAATGGCAATTTGAAGAGGTTGGCAGCCATGGCAATTCCCCAGACCATTGCTGGGGAGAAAACAACTCCTGCTCGACTTCATATGCTTATCTTCTCAAGCCTAATCAAGCTCCAGTCTCTCGGGCATCATTGAAGCTTAAGACCGTGACTTATGTGCATATATTCAACTGATCTTGATGCATATATTCAAGAGACAAATCATCGGATAATACTCCAAACATGAAGGGGTGGGATGGTGCCTGTAATTCCAGCTTTGTAACCGATGAACAGAGGTAATGCTGCCGCTATTGAAGTTGGGTTGGTTCCTTTGGTGATCTCCTCTTTAAATTGCCAAAACATGTCATTTTATGATACGGTCAATTACTACTTGTGATAAACTCCCTCCATGACAAAATCTAAGTGCACCAAGCTTAAGTTACTAATTCAACTTGTAACTTATAAAAGTAGTAAAAGAAGAAACTACTAAATATAATAGGCAAAAATGATATGAAAAGTTATGTCAAAACTTATATGGCTCAAAGACGGTGAGATACAAAATAAATTAGGGAAAGAGGAGAGGAGAAAGCCCTCTTTTCACCGTGATGTATCTGTTTCTACGACTTTGGAATCGAATAACTACCAGTCTACCAGATAAGATGAGAGACTACCAAAAACAAAATAATTGAAACAGTTCACTTTGAGTACAAGAAAGTCTGCGTCTTTGAGCAAATAATGCTAGTAGACCAGCTAGGTCGTGAATGCAGTAGTAACTGGCTTAAGTTTATGCATTTATCATATTGAAATATTACAAGTGTCAATTAAATGAGTTCTCAAAATAAGGTATATGTCCAACTAAATTTATTTCTATCTTCGACATAGTAAGCGGCAAAATTTTCTTATTGCTCAAATGCAACAATTTGATGACTCAAAAAATGAAACGCTCTACTCAAGAAGAAAAAATAACTTCTTACCATACGATAGTTATTGCCTTGTAGAGACAACTGGTAAAGAGGAGCGAACCAATTTGCCAATTTCCCAGAATTAGTGAGTGCAAAATACATCCCTATCATCAACATACAGCTACAAAAATTGTAAACATCAACCTCTGTACAAAAGCAGTAAGTTCAATGTGCAAGGTACAATTCAGAAAGCCCCTCACGACTGATTTATCTACAGTAGCATAAGGGGGAAATAGAATAGACAAAGAACGCCCCCTCCTAATCTGCAACAATCCCACTAAACTATCATACAAGCACACAACTCACTCTTGCTTCTATTACAAACTTCCCTTACTGAAGTCCTCTAGACTGCACAAGACTATCCCAAACCTCAAAAGCATCAATTCTCTGGCTTTCTGATCTGGTTGATTCAGAAAGATCAGAATCAACTCCCTGAGACTTCTTTAGTTTTGCCACGAGAACCCACATATTTGCCAGTTCATTTTCAAGATAGGCTTCTCTTTGTTTGGACTCTTCAACCTTACTCTGTAATTCAGCCTCTTTCTGATCCCTTTCCGCAAGAGCAGCTTCATATGAATGCTCCCTTTCACGGCTCATAGCCAGTTCTCTTTTCATATCTGCAGTCAACACACTTTGCTCATTTCGTCTCGGGTGAGCATCTC